TCTGGGCGACAGAGTGAGACTCCAACTCAAAAAAAAAAAAAAAGAAAGAAAGAAAGAAAAGGGAACAAAGGAAAATTGTCATTATAGATAAATATATAACAGATAAAAATATGCATAGAGATCTCTGTCCAGTTTCTGCCACTGATCATGAAGTCTAATTGATATTCACTACTACCTACTCCACAACGAATTCCATGTTCTTTGTGACTTCTGTCTGACCCACAGCTGGGCTAGGGTGACGACACTTGTATTCTTGAGATGTCTGAGTCTTTGTTGGTCCTGTCTGTATTGTGTTACTTAGTTTTCCATTAAGTTTTAGCACAAGTCATAGCTGTTCCAAGAGACTTACCAGAGGAGTCCCAGGGTTCTAGACATACACTTCCCTGGCCCAGGGTGTGAGAATTATAATCAGTCATCTCAGCCAACATACCAACTCCCCTGTTTGTCAATAGTTCAGTGGCATGAGGAAGCCAAAATGACCAGGCAGAAATCTTAAGGTCCCATTTAATGGGACCATGGGTGGGAACACTTTCCTTTTGAGCACCAAGACTTCTAAACCAGCACAGCCCAGAGTTGTAGGGGTAGAAAGCAAACATTTTGCAAGTGGGTCATTAGACAAGAGGAGCCACTCCTGTCACAGTGGTTTCTGGGGCTTTGGATTCTGGCTGTGAGAGGAGCCACATCATATACTGATCACTTTTATTTTATTTTATGTTGATTCATGGTCTCACTCTGTTGCCCAAACTGGAGTGCTGTGGCACGATCACAGCTCACCACTGCCTCCACCTCCTGGGCTCAGGTGAGATCCTCTAGCCTTAGGCATCTGAGTAGCTGGGGCTACATGTGTGCACCACCACGCCTGGCTAATTTTTTGTAGAGATGAGATCTCACTATGTTGCCTGGTCTTGAACTCATGTGCTCAAGCAATCCTCCCACCTCAACCTGCCAAAGTGCTGGAATTACAGGCATGAGCCACCACGCCCAAACCTGATCACTTTTTAGGAGCACATACTATAAGCTTAAAAGGTCTTGTCTCCATGCTTGGAGTCCTAATAGTCCATTCCACTATTCTGCAAGTTCAGTGGCTTTGGGGAAGTGAATATGTGGTGAGATAAGCACATCTCAATAGCATCAGGTTGTCCTGGTTTCTTTTGCTGTAAAATGAATTACTTAGAAGCAATATTGTGTGGGATATCATGATGGAGATTAAGGTAAGGTTCTTCCTTGGCAAGAACATGGTGAGTAATGAAGGGAACTCCATATTCAATAAATGTTTACCTTTGCCTTCATCGTAGTGGAAAATGTTCATTGTGGGACCCTTGAGGGTCTGGCTTTCAAGATCTCACGAGGGTAGACCATTCCAAGGTCTCAATGTAGGCTTACGCAGCATTGAGCATTGATGGACACAGTCTTTTTTTTACTACACAGTAATAGTTTTTTTAGCTGCACACATGGCTGCCCAAATTAAAGACTACATTTTTCAGCTACTCAATTTGACCTCACAAATTTCATTTAATTTTTAAATTTAATTTTTGAGTCAAGGTGTCACTCTCTCACCCAGACGGGAGTGGCATGGCTCTCTGCAGCCTCGAACTCCTGAAGCCTCGAGCTCCTGGACTCAGGAGATCCTCCTGCCTCAGTCTCTTGAGTACCTGTGACCACAGGTGAGTGCCACCACACCCAACTAATTTTTTTTTTTGAGTTGGAGTCTTACTCTGTCACTCAGACTGGAGTGCAGTGGCCGCTCCCAGCCACCCTGGCCGCGACCTGCTGGGCTCCGGCGATCCTTCTGCCTCAGCCTTCCAAGTAGCTGGAACTACAGGCGCGCGCTACCACGCTCGGCTCATTTTTTTTTTAATTGTAGAGATGAGGTCTCGTCAAGTTGCCCAGGCGGGTCTCGATCCCATGATCTCAGGCAGTCCACTCACCTCAGCCTCCCAAAGGTGCAGGATTACAGGTTGAGCCACTGAGCCCGGCTCTACCCAACTAATTTTAAAAAATTTCTGTAGCAATAGGGTCTTGCTATGTTGCCCAGGCTGGTCCCAAACTCCTGGGGTCAAGCAGTCCTCCAACCTCAGTCTCCCAAATGCTGGGATTATTGGTGTGAGTCACCATGCCCAGTCTGACCTAGCAAATTAAATTCTGGCAAATAGAATGTGTAATCTCTGATTCATTCCCATAAAGAAGAGTAGTGGGTTCCACCTTCCTGTTTTCTTGATTTCAGCTAGCTAAAATGTGGACTTATTATGGGAGCTAGAGTAGTCGCCATCAACCACAAAATGGAGGTTGCATTTTGAAAACAGTAAAACAGCAAGCAGGAAAAAAATCTGAATCTCCAAATTCTAGAGCTGCTATGTTAGCCTAGGTTACCTACTGGGATTTTTATAGAAGAGAGAAATAAAAAAGAAAAAAAGAGAGCAATGTACTTCATTCCTACTACTTTTCCCTTGTTTAAGCCACTGTGTCATCAGCTTAATCTGTAAACTACCCTGTACAGGTTCTTAGCAGTAGCCATCATGGAATCAGCTTTGATAAGGGGAAGTCCATTTTGATGAACTCACAATAATCTCCACGATTACCATCATAGCTAATTTGTACTCAAACCCATTAAACAGTCATTAGAGGACTGGAGAAAAAGACTGACTGGCATCCATTGGGC